TTTAGACTGAAATGTAAGGCATGTTTTTTTTTTTTAAATCAACATAATGAGGATAAACTAAACGTTTCAGTGATATGTTCATTTGTTTCTCCCACAATGTCTACTCTTGCAATACAATATTCGCTCATAGCAACTATCAGTTTAATACCGAAAAGACTGAAGACATCCAACGCATTTGGTGCCTGAACCTAACCACAGACAGGATGTGAACCCTGGTCTCTAGTGCCATAGTCCTGCATTTCCTACGCCCAACTTCTTTGCCATGCAGTTCAAAAATAAAAAAAGTTGCAAACGTCATCATCATACAAACACAGTTATACAAGCATAATATCTAGGAGACAACAGAACACATTGTTAAATAAGGACTACTTCTTTGGTATAGTTCAGCGAGTGGAAACTGAATTTCCAGATAAACAGGGACATTCACCCCCATTGTTTAAGGGTGGAGTCAGATATATCCGAGGCAGATATCTCCAAAACCATCACACTCTGCTTGGGTAGATACACTAAAAGTAAATGAGAAAATACGTTATTTTGTAATTTGGGGTGCTGCGACCCTTTAATGTGTTAGGCTTTTAGATGGTTTCTTAAATGGAAGGATCTGTAGAAAATCAGCACACAGAAATAAGAATTGTAAAATAATTCCACTCCCACGTTAACTGTAATTGTTAAATCAACATTGCAGAGGGCCGTTAACCTTAAATGAGTGACGTCTTCTGAACCAGGCTCCCTGCAACAGGCTCCTCACATGGTGACTCATCGGGCCAGCCTCTTGACACAAGAAAGTGTATCTCTCATAGGTCATTGATTGCCTGCAATTAGACTGTACTCAATAAACTCATTTAAAACTCCATCCCTAATGGAACCATTTCCAGAATGGTTTTTGGTTATTCTGCTCTTCCCAAAGCGTACGGAGAACATTTCTGTTTTCACGTTGTTATTCAAATAACCAAGGGCCTGATTTCCACTGGGGATGAAGGTCCACATGTCCACCTCACTTTTATAGTTTTAGGTCGATTTTCAAACTAAAACCTCTCTGAACATTGGACCTCATGCAAGACCACTTTGGTAAGAAGTATGGTTGTATAGAAAATGACTCTACCTTATTTATTACCTCAGTAAACATTATAAACATGAGTTTATGGTCTCAATCTCTAGTTTCAAGTCTTCTTCAATACAGCATGATGTTCATTTAGTAAATGATGGTCCATTTAGAGTCAAACAGACCATAAAGCAGGGGATGCTTTAGGGCGGGGCTACCTTGTGATTGAAAGGTCTCTACCACGGCGTTGTCCGGTCTGGGAGTTGTCTGTGTTTTCGTCTTAGAACTTAAACCCTTTCACAGTGTGTTTTCAGTTAGTGAGTTAGTTAGTGGTTCCAACGACCAAAATGCCAAACTCGAAGCTTCAAAACTGTAGTCCACAAACCAATGGGTGAGTACTACCACTTCTTATCTATGGTTAAGTCTATAGTTGTTGGGGTGATATGAAACCTGAAAGGAACCCTTGCAGACAGTCCTCAGGACTGAAAAGGGGACTCACTCGTTTTTTTTCGGGTAATATTTTTATCTACACTTTATTGTCTAAAAAGACACTAAAATCAGTCAAAAACAAGAAAGTAAAGCACAGAGCTCTTTGTATTTAACACGGAAAAACATCATGATAACTAAAAAGGATCTCTCTTCTGAAACCACTCCTGTGTCCTTACTAACTTGGCATCACCTTCTTCCTTGAACTCAAAACTCACATCCACAGAAGCCCAAAGAAAATCAACACCAAACTTTGACCACTGTTGTCCTGTCCAAACACAGATAACAAGTTACTCTTTCAAAAACCTTCAGTTTGAGGAGGATTTACACACACACACACACACACACACACACACACACACACACACACAGCCACGGAATCATCTCACAGTGTAAATCCAGTGTGCACAGCCTCAGATAAACAGTGCGTGACTCAGTGGAGAGTTCAGACGACCAGGAGGTGGGCTTGCAGTTGTGCCCTTCCCTCGCGTTCAGGACGGATTCCTGAAATGACTCATCTGAGAGAATGTGCTTAATCCCATTTAGACGTGTCCGCCACAGCCGCACCAGATTTTCATGAGTGGACCAGATTACCTGACCCGTCACAGCACAGAAACCTGGTTATCATCAACGCAAAAGGGGAATTGACGAACTGTGAGCATCGTGGAGCACGATGCTCACAGTTCGTCAATTCCCCTTCTGCGTTGACAAAAGAGGTCAAACGCGAAGGTCATCGAGGTTGCGATGATGCTGCAATTACATGCAACAGAGACACGTTTTGTCTCAGGAATTCTCTTTGTCTTATTGCCATCATATCTGCTGATAGAATCAGACTTCCTGGTCATCTTGCTTTAGGAACTCTTATCTCATGCAGACCGTGGAGCACATATTGATTGGAAATGTGATAAACTGCATCTGATTCTCACCTCATATCCCGCGTAGCCTATAACGCTCTCACAAACGCATATTAAGTGGAGACACGCTACTCTTCATACTCCTTCGTATTCCTTTCGAGGCACCATCATATCAGATCAATTGAGCATATCATTGCTATTGTTTCCATCAGTTGCACTCGCAGGGTTTCTTTTAATTGGGGAACATATTTGCACCTGAGGGAAGATCCTCCCCAGCGTCAGATAGAATGTCTTTCATAGGGGGAACTCACACCAACAATCATTTCATTCAGTCCACATGGAGTCTGTCTTTTATAGCTCTGAAATAAAACTCTCCCCGTGCAGTTCAACTTTCGATTTGGCTGATAAACTGTCTCACGGCATATTCGTTAAGAGACAAACGGCGGATGCTGTTCGCAGAGAGCTGCATTCACATGAATCTTGACTCTTTGTATTAAAGTTACAGAGGGTTGTTTTGCTATTCTTTTTTTTAAACTTCGAAGAGACCAGAAAAGAAAGTGACATGCACTGACGTGTGTGTGAGGGGGGGGGGATACGCTGACATCAAGCTCAACCACAGAGACTACGTTTTAAAAAGTGAAAGTGTCAATGGTCACAGCAGAATAGCAGAATAGACTTTTGGAAAACAAAAGGTTATTAAGGCAACAGGAACATTGCGCCCTTAATGATGCACTCGGTCCCCAGACTGCGTGGCTGAAATTGTGCAGAGGGTTAGCTGACAGGGTGTCATCACTGATCTGGTTGCTGTTAAGCTGCGTTGACACCTGCACTAATCCATTGGACATGGAGCCGGAGGGCGAAAGCAATCTAGCACAGCCAGACAAGATCGCCACTTTTATCAAGGTGAGGACAGTGAAGGCGGAGAAAACAGTGATGGACTGCAAAAAGTACTCGCTCATGATGGGAGAGGGGGCGACAGATAGGGGGAATGTCTGGCTAACTTTGCCTGGTTTCCCGCAGTAGATAATTCTGTGATCACCAAGAGGATCTGTGTTTGTGAAACACTGCAAGCAGTCGTAATGGATGTTGACTCAGAGTCTAAATCCTGTAATCAGTTCAATCATAGCGCAGGCAGCAGCAATCCTAAAAGCGTTTATCAGCTGATTAGAGAGAGAATGCTCATCGTGTACTATAACCAACGAGACGGAATAATGAATTGCGAATGAAATTATGACATTCTTTGGCAGCAGTGTGAGGTTAACCATTTTTAGATTTATATGATATATATTTACAAAAATGATGGTATTTACTATGGATCTTTGCATGATCTATTTTTTATTGTTTCAAATATCAGATATTGAGAGGCCTCTCTGGTAGATTAATATAGATCTTATAATAATAAGACAATGAGCCAAAGTACATTGCTACACAAAATTAACACAAATTTCATAAATTGGTTGACTCCAAACACTTAACATACTGAAATAAATAAATGATTCCGGTCAGTCCGGTAAAATGTCTGACTCTGTCCTGTAAGCATGTTCTAGTCCTCATGAAGCATTTCCCCTGTGTGAAGTCATCTATCTGTGAATGGCACATTAACCACCCATTTTCTCTCCCGTCTGCGCCACTATCGCCTTTACTGATAATGGGAAAAGATTATGCACATTCATTACCATTATCATTAAAATCATCATTATCATGCGCTTGGCATAATAGCAGCGTTCAACTGGTTCACTTCTCCAGCTTTCTTTCTTTTTATCCTACTGGGGCTGCTTCAGGTAGAATAAAATAGCTTTTGTCAACGTTACTTTGAAGCCTCTGTGTGATGTATTTAATGTGACATATAATACTCCATGATCTATCAAAAGGGCAAACCATGAATAAGCTGCTTTTGGAGAGGCATTCTCTGACTGAATCAATTTAGCTTTGATATTAGTGAAAGCTATTTGCTTTATATATTTTCTTTATATATGTATTTTTCTTCTTTTTATATATTTACTTTTTTTAGTATCAATGTAGCTTTTTTAACTTATTTGTGTATAAAATATATTTATATGTACACTCTACTTGTGTTAGATTAAAGTCAGGTACACCTTAGCCAAATGCAAAGTGCAATTAAGCGTCTCTGCTCTCTCAGCACGACTTGGGACTTTCTCTCCTGTTAATTAAGTCAGGATCAGGTGTGATGTGGGTACTGCCGACGGTGACTGTGGTACCTTCAGAGCCACAGGGACACAATCAGAGTAATGGAAAAAAAAGGTTACTGCAGGGGAGGAGGGTTATTTACAGGAGGCATCTCCTGAGATCAAAATCCCAAATATACAAAGCCAGAAACAGACAAAGCAGAAAACTCAGTTCAAAAAAAAAGGGGGGGGGGAGATGAAAGAGGGAAAATCCTAACAGTGGTTGCCCTACACCGACGTTCCCCCAGGATCTATTAGCCGCTGGTTTGTGCATACACCAGACAACAAGTCCTCTCCTAATTAACTGCTCTCTCCTCTCCGAAAAAGCGTCTGTTTATCAGCGCTTACTCGTTGAACTGCACGGTCTCTCCGCGCAGGTAGACTCACACTCCTATGAACAAACAAAAAAGTCACACTTGAGCACTTCCTTACCTGTGTCAGTGACGTAAAGGTCTGCTGTCCTCCTTCTGCTGCTTACAGGACAGTTTTGGTGGCTCAGCTCGTATCCTTAGGCTTTCAACAACTGAACGCATGCCTCCTCTGAGGCTTCTTATAATGGCACACCCCTTCCCTCCTGGCTCAACCCCCCCCCACCACCACCACCGTCACCATCCCCCCTCCCTTCCCCTGTATATCACCACTCACATAGAGGAGGGAGAGACAGAGAGAGAGAGAGAGGGGTGGATTCCCCTCATTCTGTTACGCACAAAAACCCCACACAACCCGTGACCCTCCGGCACTGACGTAGCAAGGCGTCGCCTACGCCACCGGTTTCGTCTTCATCGAGCCAGCTAATGGGGCTCTAAAAGTATGCATCATCCACCTTGAGATTGATCCTGGGTTCCTGTGTGTTAGGTGTCCATAAAAACCCAGCAACCGAGAGGCCAAACCGGCTGCCAAGGCCAGGGGGGAACAATAGCGTATTGAACTGGATGTTTACCCCAGAAGATCAAGTTGAGAACAAGTGAGGAAAGCAGTGCCGTGGAGATGATCACGGGTCGATGAGGTTGTTTGTGCCGGGGAGGGGGGTTTTGTTGGTGGCGATGGCACCGCACCTGAACAGGAGACTTTATTCTTCTTGTGAATGAAAGAGTGAACAATGTAAAGCAGTCGATGGACAGAGTACGCAACCAGTCTGTGGTCTGTGTGAGTCACGCAGGAGATTTGGGGATGCAAAGCAAGACGTGTACCGAGAGCTTTCTCTGTAGTGATACATGTTGATTGTTCAGTTGAGGAGATCCACAGATATATTAAACAGGAAAGGCAGGGACGTAACAATTATCACGTGAAAGTGCATGTTTAGCCGTCCGGCCCACAGCTTTACCGTTTAGGTTCAAAAACAGAAAATGTGCTCATATACTCAGAACATCATTGTCTTTGGAGCTCCAAACTTTATTCCTGATGACCTTTACAAAATTGAGTTGGACGACAACTGTTCAGGCCACTAATATTTTTGGACTGTCTTAGAATCATTTATGAAAATGGGTCTGGTTCCCCTTTAACGACCCACCACAGATATTATCTTGTTAGGGACATGATTGTCATATTTCATGGAAATCCATCAAATAATTGTCTAGTCCTTTGACTCAAATCACAAATATCTGGGGATCATCAAAGCCATTAGTATACAGTACATAGAGTGGTGCAGGGATGACGTGTTTTTACAGAAGTTAGCATTTCACTGCGTCACTCGACAAAAAGCCAGTTGTATTGTATTTTGGATTATTACAAAAAACAAACTCGATGGTTAACCAGCAATTCTGACATTTAAACTTCTTGTTTATCAAGATAATCTTAACAAATTGATTCATTTTTGAAGCGTGAATGCAATCGGCAGAAGTAAAAAGCTAATGTTAGGCTATATACAAATTACACCACGGTCAGCACGAGTAAACACAATGAGGCTGTGACGTGGACGAGTCGGCGTGATGATTTGAATGCTTTATAATACGGTAGTAAATACCCCGATGGTGAATTTTGAAGAACAAAACAATAACATCTCAAAAGCACATTAGATTCACATTGGATGTTTGGGCAAAATGTTGTGCCAATCCAACTAGATTTAAATATATTTCACTGGATAAGTAAAAACTTTGACCTGCTGGTGGTGCTAGAATCAGGAAACCACCAGAGTCATGAGGAGTCATCCTCTGGGGACCATGAAAGTCTGTAAAACATGTATAATTCATCCAATAATTGTTGAGGTATTTCAGTCTATACCAAAGTTTTGGAATGACCGACTGTGGCTAGCTCAGTAGCAATCAGTTGTTAGTACATGCGATGGAACTATCATAATGACTGTGTTTCTGTTAAATACAATAGCCACAGCAAAAACCCACTTTTAGGGTGTTGAAGTCACACTTCAAATTTGACTCCCTCCTCGTGGTGAGCTGGCATTAGCTTTAGCCCCCTGTGAAAAGTGTGAATGCCGGCCCTGAACCTGTGTGTGGTCTGATAGTGATGGATGAATTGGGTACATAGACAGAGCCCTCGGTGCGGCTGAGATAAGGAACCAAGAAGAACAAGCAGCCGTCGCGGGGGCCTGTCTGTCATTGATATCGCCGTTATCCACCGGCTGTCCAGTGTACACACACACTTCCTCTGGTGGCCAAGAGGCAGTGATTACCTCGATGACGGAGAAGGTCGAGCTTAACTTGGCACCGTGTCACGTCAAAACCATATTAGTCCAGTTTTGGTAGGGATGGATTTTGTACATCCTCTCGTAGATGTATGAAGCCGCGGAATCCTGTATTGTTTCAACATGTGAGGTAATCTATCTGAAAATATTGGGTTTTCTTCAATTCATGAAAGATGTCAGTGTTTCACATGGTCTGTAAAATGAATTTGAGGAGAATAATATTAATTCCACAGATAATCTTTAAAAAGTGTTTATTTCTGGCATGGAGGAGAGCCCAACGTTCCCAGTGTTAAAAAATAAAAATAAATCTTAAAGCTTTCATCATTCCCTAATTCTCCACGAGGATTAGAAACGCAAATATCCTTCTGTAGAAATGTGGAATTGGTTTCCAAACGGGCATAATACAACATTAAAGCTGTAGAGGGTTCATAATAACAAATGTATTGATTTGTATCAATGGAAACATGCTAAATAATTGAACCAGAGAATGATAACTAAAATGCTTTAAGGAGAAAGAAACATTGCAAGTTGTTTTATATGCCCCACTGTGGTGAAATCAGAGAGTCTGATGGCTGACATAAAAGCTGGACTTATTATGCAATCAGCTTAAATATAGTATCTGTCCTAAGACAGTTCCCTATAATGAACTCTATTTTCCAATAAACAGACATAAGCACTTGGCGGTATTTCCCTGAATTTGCATTGACATACATTTGCATACAGTGCATTGCACTGTTTTGGCTTAGTCGCCAAGTTAGACTTTTATTTCCTAGATTTAGGAGATTCATTTCAAGAGCCCAAAGCGGTTGGCTGACGGCTGTTGGGCTTCCGACCACAACTGACCGGTATTGGGAACATATCCGACCTCCTCGTCTCCTCTCCATCCTATCCAGAGTTGTTACCCTCCTAAACCCAATGACGAGAAGCTGTGGATTGCATGGGCTTTCCCCTTGTCAAGACACAAGTAATTGATATTAACAGCATGGCCTAAAATTACCTTTTTTTTGCACGGAAGAAGAATTGCACCCACCGCCCTGAAAACCTGCTGCGTCAGCCACCGAAAACACTCCGGGGAAGTTTGATTCCGGAGCTTAGGCATTCGGGGAGCCACACGGCAGTATCTCATGTGTTTTATACATCGATCTCATTGCGTAACCCGCTTCGGGTGCCTTTTTGGGGGGCATCTGAAACCAGGGAAAAAAACCTTTCTCTCTTATAGAAAATAATGCGGTGTAAGGAGACTGGGCTCTGCACAATCAAGACATGGAAGCTGGCTTAGTGAGGAACAAAACCATCGTTTGTAAAAAGAGCGACTGCTGTGAAATTAAGTGTGAGACGCCGAGGAGATGTTTACTCTTTGAGCAGGAGGGGTATAGACCTCTGGATTAAATGCAAGGGGTTCTGACCTCAATCAAGGAAATAATTACTGTTGCCCCTCCTGTTGATGGACTCTATAATTAGCAAGCAAAGCCCCCACAGAAACACAATTAGTCTGAAAACAGAGGTGATTAAAACAATAATTCTTATCGGACTCGTTAACATGTGTTTTGGTAGTGGGGGGGGGGGGCATGAATGCTTCATTGAATTTGTCGGGAAATTCAATTTCGGCACCTCCAACACCTCCGAGTGGATCCCACTAAATATTTCCCGTATACATTCGGGTGCACTCTATATTATGCTGGATGTCTGCATCCAGATATCTGTCAAACAAGTGAGATATGATAATAGAATAGAGGGCATGTGCTTCAAGATGAAAGCAAGCCGAGTGTGACTGCCTCCATCTTCCTCAAGTAATGACGAGGATTCATGATTGGCATCGCGGATAAAAGCTATGGCTCACATAAGCACTCACATTTCTCACACACACACAAACGGAGAGACGTTCTTTCTTCTTTTTCTTCCTGTGCTTCAGTGCAATGAATCACCATGTTTCCTATTATATTCTCTCAGAAGAACACACACACACACACACACACACACACACACACACACACACACACACTGATGCTGTTATCTGTCATCACCACGGTTGCCGCTCCACCACCAAAAAACAGTCGATACTGATGCAGCACCCACTCGTTGTGTGTGTGTGTGTGTGTGTTTTGTTCAGATGGTCTTTTGTGATTAAACGGGGACTGCAGCAACAAGGGAAGTTTGCTGTTTTTGCACTTCCAGTGCTTTTTGTCAAATTAAATGGCTTGATTACAAAAATGTCCTATTTCACGTAGGCTATACCTATTTAGATGTATCGCTTCAGTAAAGCATTATCAGCACTTCTATCTAGTTTATTTCCTCCAATGTCTAATGTGTCCTGAACTGTGAGTCTACCAAAGTCTCTCTCTGAGCAAAGTCTATTGAATGTGCCTATAAATATTTTTTTCAATATAGGGCAACATTAAGTTTTGTAATCATGATGATCATAAATAAATCATAATAACATCACCGATAATAATGATAACAATTATGATTATAATTATTATTATAAACATACTACATGCCATTAACTTCGCTGGTGTAACTGCAGTGCATCTAACATTGAATGTGTACATGGCTACTATAGTATGTGAGTGTGTCTCATCACACTTGCTAATATTATCGGCTTATTTCCACACTTCTAACTGACTCCTCTGACAAACCTTGCAGCCGCAAAACTGCGTTGTTTAGCATTGTTTATTTGATCTAATATCACTTTATTGCGTTAAAATGTATTGGCATTCTTCAAATAAAGGTTCCATTGACTATTGTCATTCTTTCTGATATCAACAGTCCGTTTCTATACCTTGAACCCAGCCGACAAGTATCTGACGCTTTTCATCTGCTGGCAGTTGCAACTTGCGGTGTCTTGTTTTGAATTGTACTACGCCCTACGGCTATGCTACCAACCAATCACAGCACGCGACTGAATTTCCGTAACCAATCACAATGCACGTAAACACAGAGCGGCACGCTCTGAATTTAGTTACGGAAGTCTCTCGCATTAGCTGGTAGAAGTGTTGTCATTTTTTATCTTAGTTGTTTATCGACCATAAATAATCAAACTTCGTTGAATATGGCGCGAGACGGTTTGCCCAACAAGTAGATTCCAGTCTATTCACTGCTGGTAATGTAAGCTGAAGTCTTTGTGGGTAAGTTTGAAATCAAAATAACGAGAGCCTATCTAACGTAAGAGCTTTGTGTATCGCTTCCCTTTTAAACTAACACGCTCGTGCGGCTACAGACAGCGCAATGTTAAAAGTATTCAGTAACTTCCTTCATATGTTCTCGTGGCCACTGAACATGTAGTCATTTGTACAGTACATTGTGTCTTGTTAACGTCAACTTGAATACAAACAGAGGAAAGTTAGCTTAATTTATTTAAGAAGTAAACAGCTCTAGCACATAACGTTACAGTAACGTTAGCGTTAGTAATCCCAGCTGAGTTTAATTAACGTTAAGCATCCGGGGCTTAATTTTGGGTCTCACGTGAAAACGTAAACTTAAAAATTAGCCTGGATAAGGGTTTGCTGCTATTTTACAGTGAACGTTACACTGTTGTTAATACTAGACACTCATTGTATAGTTGTATATGTTAACACTAGCTACATGTACTTTTGTATCATGCTAACCATCGCTTTCTTAAATTTGTATTATTTGTCTTAGCACGCAGTCACCTCAGGCTCCAGCCCCTGTGAGAGATGGAGGAGCTCTACACTTTAGAGAGGGAGGTAGGACGAGGCAGCTATGGTGTGGTCTTTGAGGGCCATATGGCCAAAACAGGACAGAGGGTGGCTATCAAGCGGCTGCCCTGTAGCAACCCGGAGTGCATTGAACTCTACCTGCAAGAGCTGTGGGCCATGAGAGCCACTGCCAAGAACCATGTCAATGTCATTGCACTGCACAGCTGCCTCCTGCAGACCGGGCCGAGGAGCCTGAAGCCCCTAAAACCAGGGAAAGTGCCTCCACATCTGGTCGAGAGCGTGCTGAAGGGCAGTGTAGCCAGAGCGGCACAAAGTCAGGAGAGGAATGACACCCAGCGGAGGAGCAGCTCTGTCTCAAGACTTCAGGACAGGACTAAATCAAGTGCATTTGATTCTACAACCCCACACAGGCCTCAGAACAAAGCCAGGAAGAGACCGGCCCCGAGGGAGGAAGAGCAGCCGCCGACACCCCTGCGCTGCTTCGCCCTGTGGCTGGTGATGGAGTACTGTGATGGGGGCGACTTGAATCAGTACCTGCTCTCCGGGCCACCGGACTGCCAGCGTAACCACAGCGTGGTGCGACAGCTCTGCAGTGCCGTGGCCTTCCTGCATAGTCTGGGTATCACCCACCGAGACCTGAAGCCAGACAACGTGCTGGTCTGCATGTCACAGAGGGGTCCAGTCGTCAAGGTAGGCAGCCTGTTGTGACGCTGACAGTGTTTACGTCAGCTCCAGTGGTGTTATCCCAGTCAGTACACAACTTTGAAACAATCATTATTTTTTCTTTCAGAAGGTTATTGGGTCTTCACAGTAACAATGAACTTGAGACAATAAACAATATAATAAAAAGCAATATGAAAGAGTAACTGAAAATAAAAATGCTGTCAGTATCCAAACGTTTGTACCAAAAACAATTGAAACCCAAAATACTGAGACAAACCTTTATCTGGGGTTTGTCAGGAGTTATACAAGTTTACCACACCATCTCTAAATAGTGTATGACTAGGAATATATTGCATGACAACAGTGTGGTCAGTAAGTAAAATGAATTGTTTGTGAGGTAAATCCTTTATTATAGGGCTAAATGTAATACAAAAATACACCAAATGTATGTCTGCCCTCGCAAGCCTTCATCTTAGACATTCTCACATGCATTTGTCTGTTTTTTTATCACTCTTAATAGTCGTGCATTTTTACTCTCCAGTCCACAGGTGCACTCATTTGGAATTGAATATTGTAGTCACAACATCGGGCCCATTTTCTTCCTTTTTCCTGTCCCCATGTCCTTTTGCTAATGGTGCACATGAAATGATGTTGTACCCTGTGTAGAATAGAAAGATATGCTATAGGGATGCAACTTGAAAAATAAACAATGTATCTGTCAATTCATTTCTGGTTTTAATAATTTGATCCATAAAATGTCAGAAAACACCAAAAAAAAGCCTTTCCCATATGACCAAAGCCCAAATTGACATTTCAAATGTGTTGTCTGTTCTACCATCAGTCCAGATATTTAGTTTACTGTCATAGAAGACCACCAAAACCAGCAAATATTCACAGTTAAGAAGCTGGAATCAGAAACTATTTTGCTTTTCTTTTTTTAACTTAAAATTATGGAAGCGATAATCAAAATAGGCTGGTCGCTGATTGATTCTCTCTTATTTGAATGATCTATTTAAGGGACTGTTTGTTTCGGCTCTACTGAGTGAACACTTCCACGTATTGAAATATACCTCCATACCTCAGCCTTCCTCTACAAATCTTTACATAGCTTTTATCCAAAGGGAAAATTAAGCATCGGGTTTCATCTCTTTTGCGTTTTAGCATTTCATTTTCAGTCAATCTGCCCGTCCAACCTCTAGGTGGCGGACTTCGGTCTGAGCAAGATGAGTGAGGGTCCGGTGGACGGTGAGCTGACCAGACAGCACTTCTCCTCCACCTGCGGCTCTGACTTCTACATGGCTCCAGAGGTGTGGGGCGGACTGACCTACACAGCCCAGGCAGACATCTTCTCCCTGGGTGTGATGTTCTGGGCCATCCTGGAGAGGATCACCTTTCTGGAAGAAGGGGCCACGCAGGAACAACTGGGTGAGTACACAGTCGGTAGAAGAGACTAAATGGAACGAGATGGAGAATACCTGATGCAGTGTAGACTTACACATCATGTGAATATGTGAATACAGACTGGGACAGTGTTAACATCAGGGGTCATGAAGTCATAGTGTGTCATGTTGCATCCCCCCCCTCACCAGCTCACGGGAAGGTCGGAGAGCTCGAGTGTGTGGTCAGGCGGCTCGATGACGTATCGTGCCGAATCGAGTCTGACTTAATTAACTGGCACATATTAAAAATGTCACATACCATACATCATATATTCATCAACCACAGATGGTACAATCATGGATCTAAATGGCAAAGAGATGGATGATTTATGCTGTGTGGACGATAGTAGCTCCGCTTCCTGTAATACGAGCGGACAGCGTGTAATTCAGCCTTCTCTACTAAAACGTGCTGTCGTTGGCAGCACGAGATTCCAGGTTCTTTCATTTTGAATCTTTTCAAAAAACATGGCAACATTGGCCCTGACCCAGTGCTTTTAATGACATGTCCACGGCGATGCAAAGATGCAGCTGTGTTCTCGTCAACTTCGTCATCTCAAAGAATGTTTGATCTAATGAATTGGACCCATGAAGTCTGCAGAACTCTGGTCGATTCAACATGAGCCAGGCGAGGCACTGTGCCAGCATTCCAGTATAGCTGTGAGATTTGAATCTCTTTTTTTGTTTCCTATTTTCCTGTCGGGACCCATGTGGCCATAGGATGAGGAAGCGTCTTAATGGACGCAGGGCCCAGTTTTGCTCTGCGCTCCACTGTCAGAGAGTAATGAAATGGCTGTTTTACAGTTGTCTCATTTTATTCACAAAAATGGGCAGGGGAGATATGAACCATTATCCCCAAGTTTAGTGCCTGAGAACCTCCCTGAGTCATTGATACTCCATGAGGCGGAATGAAACGCTTATGATTGGAGGGACGAGAGGGGGTTTCAGTGGATTCAAATTTAAAAAAAAAAAAAAAAAAAAAGGAAGGCAAAATGGAATTTAGCAGCCCAGATCACGATCTGGAGGCAGCTGGAGGCTTTTCACAGACAGATAAAATGGTCCATTATTTTACTTTATCTTCTCTGAAGACCCACACCCCCACACAGTTATTCGAGTAGGCAGGGGAGCCGAGTCGAGGAGCAAGACACAACCTCCTGTGTTTGTCCTTGAAGCCCGGCGCCGCTTGTTAGCTTTTTGCTCCGTCAGGTGAGGAAGTCACTGCTGGCCTTTTACCAGGCTGGTCCTGCACCTGACTATATGCACCGATCACGCTTTTTCAGTCCCATACTGATACTGAGAGTACCGATCTGTTACCAGTGTTTAAATGATGAGCTGTGTGGATGTGAGTGGGATCATTCTTTTATGTGGAAGGCAAAATCAGGCTTGACTTACACATTGTTTTCCTAACGTGTAAAACAAAATGTAACAAATATAAATATATAAATGAGTGTAAACCTTTTTAATGCAGCAACTAGTTGGTCAAAACTTAGACGGGAATTCAAATTCCAGGATAAATGTATATACATATAGAATAGTTGTCACAGATACCAGATCCAGCTGTATGAGGCTACATCCACACGAATACCTTTCCAATCTTAAAACAGGGTTTTAAAGCGAAAACGATCTCAACGCCTGAAAACGAATATCGCCGGACTGTTTACGTACACTGGGCATTCGAGCGCCAGTGTAAACAGGAAGTACATTGGTTGCTTGCATACAGAAAATAGAACAAAGTGTTACAATACTCTTTACTAATAAAAGGTCGGGCTTGATACTTAAGATCTTTTCTAATCTTCCTCTACTTAAACAGACATTTAGTGGGGAAAAAACTCACTCTCACCCTCACACACACACACACCAAATCTACTTTATTATGAAAACTTACAAATCAAAGTTTACTAGATTATGGGTCTCTCACTCGTTTCCTCGGTTTCGTTGTATTGTGTTCTCACACTCGTAGCTGAAGTCTCTGTCGTACTAGAGAGTATTTATGCTTTTGTTCCTTTTATAGTTTATGTGTGTGGATTTTACAATAGTTGTGCAGAACAAAATAAGCATTGAAAAGGAAAGTCCATCGCCCTCCTCAAAGCCACAAACGCGTGACTTCAGACGGTCGCTCCGTAGGGCTGATAATGCCGCTCGCTAATCGCTCCAATAACCGCTGCTTCCTCTGCATGTCAGCAGTAGTAGAGTTATGAAATTCAGAACTGAACTGCACAACAGCTGCTAGTTTACACAACAAGGTCAGCAACACCTGTAATCAGTTATCCATGGTGAATTAACCTGGTAGTCGATCGGTAATCAAGACTAGTGTTTGTTTTCTTCCGGCGGCGTGACGAATCAGGGAAGGACACGTCGTGACTGCTAAGACCCAATCAAGTAGCAAGCGCGGAAGCGTAACTCAGCGTTTTCAAAGGTCTCCGGTTTCCCCGTCCACACTACGTCACAACCCCGGAGTTTTCAAGCTAACAAATTGTCGGAAGCGTAGCAAAAAGATGTGCGTTTCAAAATGGAAACGTAGTAGCCTGAGTCAGTACCACACATCCCCACACTTGACCCTCGACTTTGTGAAGTGTGTAGGTCAGGGTTCAGTGTGGAGCATCATTGGGGGAAGCAGACTTGCATGACGATGTGTTGCTAACAATGTTCCATTGAAGTATATCCAAGAGACATTGAGATTAAGTAACGATTAATGCATTTTAATTACTTTCAAGGATAATCATCTTTAATTTTTTAGGGGATCGCTACGAAGGATTTTTTTCGATTAATCATTTAGTCTAGAAAATGCTGAATGGAGACAAATGACAGATTCTAGTTTTATCTTTCTTAATTGCTCTGATCAGTAGCCAAACCTGAGTTATTAATGTCATAATGGTGTGAAAGAAAGAAGAGGAAGCTAACGTTATACTTCAGCTTCGCCCAACTCCTGAGGTCGAATTTTTCTCTCATTTCAAGTAACATAAGGGATGCTTTAAGAATACAATACATAAGAGAAAGCTTCTGAAAGACGTCCATCTTGAAATAAAGTACTTCATTTTAGAAGAATAAATATAACTGAATTGTCCTGCAGCTTTAAATTCAGTTCCTTCAGGTCTGATGTGATGTCAATTAAAAAAGCCATGATATTATATCTTTCTCATCTTATTGTGCAGGTAATATATTTGCGGTTATTGAAACTACTTGTTTCAGCTCGATTCCCCTCTATTGACATCATTGTTGGGCAGTGAATGCATCTTAGGATTCTGATCATATTGGGCTCTTAGGTTTATTTTAATGTGCTCTTCCCTCTAATGTGTGTCCTAGGATGCATGACAACAGGGACACAAATGACCTTTTAACCCTTCTAGATCACATCCCCAGTCACAGCATGCACCTATTTAACAATATATTCAAACAACATCCAGCCGACGATCATTTTGCAACTTTTAGCGACGAGGGCGGTGTGTGTGGAGCCACAGCCCTCTGTAGCTCTGGATCTCGCTATAAGCCCGCCCCCTTGTAAGCAGTCCAATCAAAGCATAAGATTTGATTTTAAATCCCTCTTGTAACTGTACACCACTCAAATATTCTGTGCCGCTGGGGAATCCGGCACAGTAGAGAAGATGAAGACGCTCTAACTTCCGTTGTGCATAAACCCCTGTGACTGCTACAGTTGTTAAAGTTTAGCTCAACACTCCACATCCAGACTGAGTCAGTTCAACTGCAAACTGGTAAAGCGAAGCACTGTTGCTTATTAACAATAGCGAAATGCCACTTAGCACATGATTTATTTAGAAAACACACCTGGTCCTATTTTGAATGTCTCTTGACGTACTCTACTCATATTGACATCAAGCTACGAGGTGTATTTGCTTCTTGCAGCTTCATGTCTCCAGACCAAGTGATGCTCAGTCACATTCAGTTTGGATCTATCCTGGTTCCTGCTGTTTTGGTTTAGAAGTGAAGTGGATGTTCACTTGTAATCAGACAAGTGGCCCTCATGCAGTACTCTGACCCCTCACTTGATACACGTTTAAGAAGAGACACTGCAGGCTTCAACATTGTTTTACATGCTCTGGTCAATGTGGAGCTTTTGGTCTGTTTGTCTTCTTTCAGACTAGTGGAAGGAAAACATCCAAAATACACCTTTTAAGTGTTTATTTTACTACGTTGTATATTTGCATCATTAGATTTCTCCCAAATTCGGGGGCGACCTGGCTCATTGGGTAGAGAGGGTCGTCCGTTAACCGTGGCGGTCGGCGGTTCGATCCTTGGCTGCTACGTGTCTCGTGTCCAAGTGTCCCTGAGCAAGACACTGAACCCCTAACTGCTCCCCGGGCGCCTGTCATGGGCAGCCCACTGCTCCCTATATACAAGGAAGGGTAAATGAAGAGACAAATTTACCCTTCCGGGATGAATATAGTAGAATTAAAAAAAAAATAAAAATTTAAAATGTACCAAAAGTTACCATTAGATGATGCCTCATTTGCATATGTAAACATCACATTTCAGAAAACTTGTAATACAAAAAATAGGGATAGGGAAGTTTCATGGTGATATCTATTAGTTATTTTAGCCTAATCAAAATGTCTGTACATTTACAAAACATATCTTTAAAAGTTAAAAATCTCCACTTCAGCAGCTCTCACATTCACCAAACTTTCCACTTTTATTCCTCTCTATATTCTGAAGATTTTTACAGAGGGGTTTCAATGAGTACAAAGATGTTGTGATGACACACAGTTTAATGTAACTTTGAAAGAAGGAAGGCTGCTCTCACACTGCAGTATTTCTAAAGAGTCTTTTACATTTCCAGGTCAAACTCTCTCTGTCCTTAGAAAAGTACTTCACGCACCAGAAGGCACTTGACTGCTTGCAAAAACGAGCGTGGTCCACAATCACTGGCATGAAGTGGCCCCCCGCCGTCTCTGCTGCTGTGAGGCAGGACCCTCCTGCACCATGACTTAACGCCGTCTGCCCTCGTGTTCCCTCTTTAGGTGCTTACGTGTGTCGGGGTCGCTGGTTGATGCCGCTGGGGGAGGCTCTGTGGGAGAACGCTGACCTCCAGCTGTGCATCCCCATGAAGTTTAAGAGAGCGCCCCCGCTGCCCCCACCTCCCGGTCCCGCCATGAGCTCCCTGCTTTTAGACCTGCTCGCCTCAAACCCGGACGCTCGTCCGCCAGCCGACCAGCTGGAGGCCAGACTGAGCTCCGCTCTCAAAGAGGACACCCACTGACAAAGTGCACATAAGAGACCACAATGGCTTTAACCGCCGAAGCCACCACATGGAAATATTGACAGTGGACCCCTGACTGCGGTGCTTTCCTACATGTGTAAGCGATAGCCACTTTGCTGCCACGGGGAAGTGGGGGTAAGAAATATGTATGATTACATGGGATTGCAGGTGCTTTTCTTTTTGCTGAAACAGCTCAATTTCCAAACTGTAGGAAACCACATAATGGGAAAAACACAAAACATTCAAAGACATTCAAGTCCATATCGAGATCTAGTGGGACTCCGTCGAGCTGTGTTTGACGTAAGAGCCCTGAATGCTCAACATAGAACATGTATTTAAGCGTATAATTGTTGAAAGGTGTCAATTTATTAATTTTTTCCCACTGATATTGTTTGTGTGTTTCCTCCAAATATGTTCTGTGTAAATAAATAAGGAGTACAGCCTCAAAATGTGTGATGGTTTTAAGTCAACATACAAAAGCTTTCAACACTAAAAACTGTTAAGCCTGTGAAAATGTTGTAATATTAGTGCCTCGTCATTTCACTCATTTGTTTTGAGTCTACAACATTTTAGAACGTAGAGCGCTTTGACAGTGAGGTGAAACTGAGCTGCTGTGTGAGCATCTTTGTGACGAGTGAAGCGGGCCAGCAGCATGATGGTGACTAACGATCACTAATAGACCGTCCCCGAACCAACAGGAAATTAAAGGCAGACATTAGGATGCTCGCTGATCATATCCAGGCCCAGTTCACAGCATTTATTACTGCTCATCAGTCTTGGTCATTGACTGTCCATATCTTTGATGACTTACTTTTTGCCCATATGCCTGAAACAAATAGTGTCCAGAAACGCTTTTTAAATTTAAATGAACCTCAACCTGTAACTTTTATATGAGTGGTGACACATTATGTAAAACTCATGCCTTGCAGTTGTGCTGAAGTGAGGATAGTGACCCACAAAGAAAGACCCTCGTAATAAATGCAGTATTAACATAAAGGTAACATCCTCCCCCTGTCCTCTCAGCCATCCTTGTGATAAGACTGAGCTCAGCGGCATGGAGGTTAAGCTAGGGAGGCAAGCTCAGCTAACCTCTGTGCTCCCAGCTCAATGGCTGACGTCCTCGGGTGAGAGTGCTGGCCAGCCGGTAGCTCACTCAAGATGACCTTTGACCTCCCTACTTCTCAAGTGAGTTTAGAGGAGTTGATGCAACCTTCGGGGTTGAATGTGTTACACGTACGGTGGGAAATCGTCTGCATGATTAAAAGGGCCAGTGTGCACGATGTGGCGCCATCTAGCGAGTGAGGTTGAAAGATGGCAGCCAACTGAAACTTCTCACATGTGACAAGCGTGTAGGAGAACTATGGTGCTAACGTGAAAACGGTAAATACACAAAGATTATTTCAGCTGATTATACACTAAAGAAAACATGTATTGTTATTCCTTTCTGCCAAATAGATCCTCCTAAATGCTACACACTGCTCCTTTAATCACGATTGGTATATTTGGGTCTGATGAGTGATTTTTGGATTTCTTCCCCAGTCTGTCTTAATACAAAACTTGCATGCCCATGTGAGCATTTCAATAATTTCTTTTAATCATTCCCTCCTGTCAATATTGTCTGTGAAGTTGTGCCCTGTTGGTGTGACTTCATTGTAAGCGATGAGAAACACAATCGGCAGTCCTTGTTTGGCGTAACAGTGCATTCTTATTAATTAAACTACGGTAGAAAGAGGCTTCAGCACTGTGAGTAAGTCCAGTATTTAAGTTAGCACTTGACAGTCACAGCTCTGTTGAGCCGTGTATTTCTATAGACCTCAGTAGTGATGACTTCATGAACTTCTTTAATGATAAGATTATAACTATTAGAACATTAATGGTTTCCTGCCCTCAACCAGTACCTATCCTCCAATAGAGTAACCTTAGAAACGGCTGTAAACCCTGATATATATTTCGACCTTCACCAATTGACTTCAACAATGTCTACGTCTAAACCTTCTACTTGTCTCTTTGACCCTATACCGACTAGGCTGCTTAAAGAGGTGTTGGCTAACTATAGACCGATCTCTAACCTTCCCTTCCTCTCTAAGATCCTTGAGAAAGCAGTTGCGAATCAGTTGTGTGACTTTCTACATAATAATTTATTTAAGGATTTTCAGTCAGGATTTAGAGAGCATCATAGCACAGAGACATCTCTGGTGAAAATAACTAATGACCTTCTAATTACATCAGACAAAGGACTTGTCTCTGTTCTTGTCTTGTTAGACCTTAGTGCTGCGTTCGACACCATTGATCATGACATCCTGCTGCAGAGACTAGAACATTTGATTGGCATCAATGGAACCGCTCTGAACTGGTTTAATTCCTATTCCTCTGATCGATCACAGTTTGTATTAACGTTGAAGCCTAGATGAACACCAACGTTAGTCATGGTGTTCCCCAAGGTTCTGTGCTTGGACCAATCTTGTTCACCTTATATCTGCTTCCTTTAGGCAATATTATCAGAAAACACTATAAACTTTCATTATTATGCAAAATGAAAATATAATGTTCTCAGTTGGTCTAGCTGTGGGATCCACAGTCATTCCTTAATGACAAGCCGCGACCCAAAGAGATTATTATAGGATTTTACTTTCACAACTTGAGCGTTGAACGTACTGCTCTGCAATGTCTTTTGCAGAGCAACTCAGTCAGAATGCATTTTGATTGGCTGAGCTGCATCACGTGATGTGATTCACTACCCATCAGCCTCTGCTGGCTGTTAAGTTTCGTTTCACGATAGTCACGTGCTCGCCCACTGACCAATCACAGCACACTCTGCACCTAGCGGGAAAGCTACACACGGACACTGGCGGCATGTAATGCTGACGTCATTATAGGCCGGCGCGCAGGCTCTGATAGTCAAAGAATACGCCCAACATGTCAAACTAAAGATCTGATTGGTTGAACACTATGACAATCAACAATATCGTCCCCATTTACTTTAATCTGCACTGGCTGCAGGTGAGACTCTGCAGGCCTCGGGCCTCTGTTCTTACCTAGAGACACAGAGGTGAAATCTGATTGGATAAAAGCTCTACTTAAAACAAGCTGCACTGGAAGCAGAGCAACTGAGGAAGACAGTAGCTGTGCAATGAGAAAATAAGATAATGGGAAAAATATTTTTATAAATTATAATACATGTAGTGTATTTAAGAAAAATTATTAAATTATAAAATAGATTTTCTTTTTTTTTTTTTTTCTTTTTTTAAAAAATATATATAGCTTTGTGATTCTGTTTAGGCCAGCAGAGAAGGCCTTGCAGGCCCTGACGGCCCGCCACTGCTCAATTATATCTATCGATCAAACCAGATGTAACCAACCAGCTCACTAAATTGCAAGCATATTTTAAGGACATAAAAACCTGGATGACCTGCAACTTCCTGATGTTAAGCTCAGACAAAACTGAAGTTATTCTACTAGACCCAGAACACCTCCAACATCAGTTATCTAATGATATAGTTTCACTAGATGGCATTCATGCATTTGTTACATCTAGACTAGATTACTTATTATCAGGCTGCTCTAATAAATCTCTTAAATCTCTCCAGATGATTCAGAATGCTGCAGCTCGTGTACTAACAAAACTAAGAGAAGAGATCATATTAGTCCTGTCTTAGCTTCTCTGCACTGGCTCCCTGTAACATCTAGAATATAATTTAAAATCATTCTCCTCCCCTACAAAGCCTGAATTGGTCAGGCACCGTCATATCTTAAAGAGTTTATAATACCATATTACCCTACTAGAGAGCTGCGCTCCCTAAATTCAGCATTACTTATGGTTCATACAGTCTTAAAAAGTAGGATGGGAGCCAGAGCCTTCAGTTATCAAGCTCCTCTTCTGTGGAACAGCTTCAGTCCCGGGGTCAGACACACCACATTTAAGAGTAGGCTTAAGACTTTCCTCTTTGATAATGCTTATAGTTACGGACGGCTCAGGTTTATAGTTACGGACGGCTCAGGTTTATAGTTAGAGCTGGCTCAGGTTTATAGTTAGGGCTGACTCAGGTTTATAGTTAGGGCTGGCTCAGGCTTATAGTTAG